GCATGGCTGCCGGCTGCCATCTTGGCTGACAGTTAATTTGCATAAGGATATGCTGATTAGCCAATGGGAAGGGTAGCGGTCGTACGCTAATTACCATGTTTTTCTTTTATTAGTGTAGATATTAAAGTGTTGCAAGGATATAAAAAAATTATAACAAATGTTCTAGTTAGGAATGATGCAGCTACTGTGGAAAATGGTATGGTGGTTCCTTAAAAAAATTAAAAATGAAATGATCCAGCAAATGCACTTCTGGGTATATAACCAAAAGAATTGAAAACAGGGACTCAAAGCGATATTTTGTACACCCATGTTCATAGCAGCATTATTTACAATAACTAAAAAGTGGAAGCAACCCAAGTGCCCATCAATGGATGAATGGATAAACAAAATGTATTATACACATTCAATGAATATTATTCAGCCTCAAAAAGGAAGTAAATGTTTCCATGTGTTATAACATGAACGAACCTTAAGCACAATATGTTAAGTGAAATAACAGTCACAAAAAGACAGGTACATATAATTCCACTTATATGAGACACCTGGAGTAGTTAAATTTACAGACAGAAAGTAGAAGCGTTGTTGCCAGGGGCTGGGAAGCTGTGTGAGGAGATAGGGAATTGTTGTTTAGTGAGTGTAGAGCTCCAGTTTTGAAAGATGAAGAGAGTTCTAGTCATTCACAACAATGTGATCAAAAGTTTGTATCCAAAGATTTATCAGCAATTGTTAATACCGTCTCCATTATAAGTGGTTTTAATATGTTGTGAAGAAATTAAACATATCCAAAGTGTTTCAATGAGGATGCAGTTGTTTTCATTCCATCCTACATAGACAATAGGAGGAGGATCTTCTCGATGGGTGAGCAACAGCATTATATCGGTACTTACAGTCTTGGCACGCACAGTGTAGTCAGCTAATTGTGCTGCTTGTTTCCTAAAATAATGAGACTTTTCTATTTTTTTATGCTTTAGGAAAGATTAAGAAACTTCAAAGAGCTCCAAGCTAAATTTCAAAAGCTTGATGTGTCATCCCTTCCAGGACCTATTAAATCCCTAGCAGGTGTTTCTCCTAAGGGTGACATTGGAAGCACACAGTCAACGACGGTTTGGGCCAATGGGAAACCCTTCTCATCCAACCATAATCAGCCCCCACCATATTGTTCCAATGGTGAACCCCAGTCTCTTGAACCCCAGAAAATGAAGTCAGCACCAAGGAGTGATATTCAGAAATGTTCTAATTCCCTGGGAGCTCCAGGAAGGTCTACTCATTCTGCAGAAAATTCACAGAAGGCTTCTCTGCCTTTACATGTGAATCAGTCAAATGCTAAGGTAACTGATAAGAAGAAAGAGGTGGCCAGTACCTTCAGAGACAAGCTCCAGAACTGGGAGAAGGTTTCATCTCAGAAAAGTGACATGTCATCAGCCCTTCGCCTCGCCAGTTGTGGAAGTGGGGCTCTCCATCCGGAAGATCAGAAAAGCACAGGGCTCACTACTCCAGAGGAGACCAGGAAACAGCTTGAAATAAAAGGCTCCCAGACTCTTCCTTCCCAGAGGCACTTGATGGCCCAAAGAAAATCACATGTCACCTCAGAAGATCCCACATTTCTGCTTTCTCAACATGGAAGGAAGAGCCTAGGAAAGGCCAGTCCTGAGAGGAGCCCAGCGGGGAGCACCTGCCAGCCTATCTATGAGAGTGAGCTTGCCAGCCGGGCCCCAGGTGAGAAATCTAATCCCCACAGGTGCGGGGGGAGAGCTCATTGCATTTTTCCAACTTAAAGCTGGGGAACTTGAGAAAGTCACATATGTGACCTCAGCAATCTTTGCTCTAAACGCAGGTATTATAGGAGCATCTGCTAAATTGTAATTTTCAGGTTTGGGCAAAGTGATTAATCTCCTGGACTTATATTGAGAAACAGTTTGAGCAAACTTGGATTTGAATCCTAGTTCTACTTCCTGCAAGATGTACTAACTTAGGCAATCTGCTTAACTTCATAGAGCCTGATCTGCTCTCCTACAAATCAGATTCATCACCAGTCTTCCCTGTCTTAGTAAGCAGGACAACCGTCCTCCTGGTTGCTCACACCCAAAATGTAGGAGTCATGCTCTGTTCCCCTCTCCCTTCATTCTTTGCATCCAATCCATCAGCAAGCTCTTGGTTCTATTACTAAAATGTGTTCTGTATCCCTCCACTTCTGCCTTCTGCACATGTCCACACTACAGTTATCTCTCGCCTGGACCACTGCAATGGTTCAACTCATCTTCCTGCTTTCACACTCTGCTCTCTTATATTCTGCTCTCTTCCTAGCAGGTACAGTGATCCTCTAAAACGTAAGTCCTATCACATCAGGCTTCTGCTCCAATTCAACTCCAGCCATCTTACGGTGTTCATGTTATCTGGTCTTTGCCTACCTTTCTTACCTTCTCCTCTCTCATCACATTGGCCTTTTTGTTGTCCCTTAGATATATCAAGCTGGTTATACCGCAGGGCCTTTGCACTTGCTGATTCCTCTGCCTGGAACACTCTTCCCCCAGGTCTCTAATATCTGACTCAAACATTTCATCAAGGTCTCTGCTCAGTGTCACCTGCTGTGAGTGGATCTTGTGGATCATTCTATCTAAAATAGCCATGGCACCCCATCACTATCTTCTTACATTGCTTTAATTTTCATCATATCACTTCTCCCTACTAACTATATTATGTATTGGTTTATCCTAGTAAAATGTAAGTTACATGAGAATAAGAACTGTGTTTACCACCATATCCCCAGAATCTAGAAGGACAAGGCGCCAGGTTCAGTGGTTCTCAAAGCATATTTATTGAATGACTGAAATGGACTAATGAGGTGGGTGGATGGATTGCCTGCTTCTAATCTCTTTGAACTTAGAATAGCATCTAAATTACTACTCATTTCAAGGTCCTGCTTCTTTTGATCCCTGTTTATGTCTCTAACTTACCTCCTGCCTCTTCCCCTAGCTCACTAGCCCATAGTCAATACACTGGATTTCTTGCTGTTCCTTCAACAGACTTTGTTGTGACTCGGGACCTTTACTATTGCTGTTCCCTCTTCCTAAAAAAAACTTGTTTTTTTAACTTTTATATACTAGGTTCACGGAGGTCAAAGTCAAATAACACTTGCAGATAAATCATTTTTAGCCTCCCTATCTAAAGACCACTTGCTCACCACCAAGATTTGCATTCTTTATATCATCCTCTTTTTATTTCCTTTATAGAACTAACACATCTTGTTTGTTTACATGTTTATCATCAGTCTCATCCTATAAGAATGAAATTATCTTGTTTGTTTGTTTACATGTTTATCATCAGTCTCATCCTATAAGAATCAAATTATCTTGTTTGTTTACATGTTTATCATCAGTCTTGTCCTACTAGAAGAAAAATTCCTGAGGGCAGAACTGTGTCTGCTCTTATTCTTGTTCAGCTCTATCCCCAGCCCCTAGAACCATGCCTAGAATATAGTAGATAAGTAATTACTGATGAATAGATGGGAAAGAAGAGGGGATGAGTGGGAGGAGGGTTATGTGGGAAGGAAGGAGGACGGATGGGTTGATTACCTACCTGGTGGAACTGTTATGAGGATTAAAAAAGATAACCCATATGTAAACCACTGAGCACACTGCCTGGGAATAATTAGGGACCCAATAAGCAAGTGATCATTTGCTTTCACTGTCATGTCCTTAATTTGATAAAGACTAAAATTACTGACATTGGGACTTATAACCCCAGAAGAGAGAAACTTTGGCCCTGCTGGGAGGGCAAGAACAAAGCCCCTCTGCTTGCAGGGGACAGCAGGACTTTGAGAGTCTCACTCGTATATTTGGGAAACAATAGCCAGTTGTACCATGTAATCAACCCCTACTTTTTGCACTAAAAATCAAAGCTCTTGGTTAATATAAGAGTTTGCATTATTTCCCAAAGAAGCAGATATAATTTTCATCTATAATATTGGAATTTCTGTTGAGTTTGGCTAAGAATAAAATATGCAAAACTGGAATTATCCTGCTAAATTCCAGGACACAAAATCCACAGGTGCCTAGGTACCACCAAAGTCAGCCTTGAAGCCTGTGTTAGGCTATGAGCCCTGGAAATCAGAGATCAATCCTGATTCCTCTTTATAGCACCCATTTTATTGCCCATCATAAGTCCCTGAAGAATCCTTTCAGTTGTCCATTTCCTCTGAATTGGGCCCTGTACTTGGTGCTAGGAAAGGTCAATGTGGCCTAGTCCCTGCCCACAGGAGCCTAACTCAGTGAGAAGTTAGACCAGCCCCTCTAATAAGCCACAACACTGCTGGAGAGGTGTTAACAATGTGCTATGGGGATATAAAACAGAGTCCTAGATTTCTGGGAGCAATCAAGAAAAGCTTCTTAGAGGAGGTGTCATTGGAGCAGGGCCTTAAAGGAAGAGTTGAAGTTTGGCATGAAAGAAAAAAGGGAACAGCATTCTAGGATCCAGGAACGGCATGAACAAAATCTTGGATATACGAAAGCTTTTGAAGGCCTGTAAAATCCAATCTGGGAACTGAGGAGCCAATGATGTGAGTGAAAGATGTTTGGGCTTCAGGTCAGGGAAGTAGGATAATAAAATCCGGTAAGAAAATAATCTGGAAATGTCGATTGGGGCCGTGTGCTGTTTAAATGCCAGAGGAGGGAGCCAACAAAGGGCATGCTGAGGAAATGGCAGTTCATCCTCTGGGCAGCAGGACGATGACAAGATCAGGGCCGTGTTTCGATCTGGACACTCTGGCTACTGGGTGGAGTATAGATGTGGGGGGAATGAGAATGAGGCAAGGCAACTCATCACTTTCTCCCCACAGGCCATAAAATGGAAACAACTGACAACCTACATTGTGGCTTTTTGTGCTCAGAAAAAGACCCAGATGTCAAGCATCACCAGCTTCCCAAAACGAAACCACTGCCTTCCGTGGAGTCCCTGGGTCCTCCTCCCGTGAAGCCACCGAAGCCTCCAGTAGTGAGCCTCTGGGCCTTCCTAAGGCGGACAGCTGCGGTTCCCAAGACCCCCAGGCAAGGTGAGGAAATGCACAGCCCTCACAACCCCACCACCATCACACACAGTGGGCCAGTATCCCCCCACCCTCACCCCCCAACCCCCGCCACCTCCCTTTC